CACCGTAGTGTCGAAGAAGCCTCCACAGTGTTTTCCTATCCACGCTATCGAATGCTTTCTCGTAGTCGATGAAGTTGATGTAGAGTGGTGAGTTCCATTCAATTGATTGTTCCACAATGATCCGTAATGTAGCAATTTGGTCAGTACATGATCGATCCTTACGGCCTGTTGATCTCGAAGTTTGGCATCTACGAAGTCCTTCATTCTGTTCAACAATACTCTGTTGAAGACTTTGCCTGGTATTGAAAGAAGAGTGATGCCTCTGTAGATCTCACACTTGCTGAGATCGCCTTTCTTTGGTATTTTGATCAGATATCCTTCTTTCCAATCTGATGGTACTTGTTCCTCATCCCAAATCTTATTGAAGAGGATGTGAAATATATTCGCAGTTGCTTCTACATCTGCTTTCATTGCCTCTGCTGGAATGTTGTCTGGTCCTGCTGCTTTGCCGCTCTTGATTTGTCTGATGGCCATACTGATCTCCTCAATCGTAGGTGCGCCAATATTAATTGGGAGGTCCGTGGATGCTGCTTCGATGTTGGGTGGGTTCAGTGGAGCTGGTCGATTCAATAGTTCCTTAAAGTGCTCTACCCACCTATTTCGCTGTTCGTCAGTGTTGCTGATTATTTTCCCTTCCTTGCTTTTCACTGGTCGTTCTGGTTTACGATAGTTCCCGGCGAGCTTCCTTGTTGTTCCGTACAATTGTCTCATGTTTCCTTCTCTTGCAGCCTTTTCCGCCGTCATTGCTAGATCTTCCACATATTTTCGTATGTCAGCTCTGATGCTCTTCTTCACTTCCCTGTTTGCTTCTGTGTATGCAGCTTGTGCGGTAACTTTCTCTGCTCTTGTTCGGCTGACATTCACTGCTGCCTTTTTGTTCCTCCTTTCTTGAATTTTTTCAAGAGTACCAACAGAGATCCATTCCTTGTGGTGGTGCTTCTTGCGACCAAGGACCTCCTGACATGTTGAAGTGATTGCCTCCTTAATCCCTTTCTAATTGTTCTCCTCTCCATTGAGTAGATCTTGAATGGCCTGGAACCTATTGGTGAGGGCTATCCTGAATTCGTTGAGCTTTACAGTATCCCGAAGAAAGGCCGTAATAAACTTGTGTGATGTTGTCTGTCCCGTTGTCCAGTGCTTCTTTAGTTTCAGTTTCATTTTGGCGATTAGCAAATGGTGATCTGAGGCAACATGAGCTCCTCTCCTGGTTCTCACATCCTCCATAGTCCTTCTGAACGTTTTGTTGATACAGATATGATCAATCTGGTTTTGAGAAGGGTGCGGTCCGGTGAAATCCACGTGGCTTTGTGTATGCGTTTTTGCGGGAATATTGTGCCACCGATGACCAATTTGTTGAAGGCACATAGGTTTGCAAATCTCTCACCATTTTCGTTTCTTTCTCCCAGTCCATGTCGCCCCATGATGTCTTCATATCCAGTGTTGTCCATTCCAACCTTGGCATTCAGATCTCCCATAAGAATCGTCAAATCCTTTGGTGAACATTTCTCGACGATTGACTGCAGCCTTTCGTAGAATTGATCTTTAACGTCGTCATTGTAGTCATTGGTAGGTGCATAACATTGGATGACGTTCATTGTAATGTCCTCTTTCTTTGTTTTGAAGGATGCTTTGATGATCCTAGGTCCATGAGATTCCCATCCTATCAGTGCCTTTTGTGCATGTTTGGACAGCATCAGTGCAACTCCTTGTGTATGTGAAGCGTTTTCCTCTTCATGACCAGAGTATAACAGCAGTTCCCCTGAAGCTAGTCTCAGTTGTCCTACCTGTGTCCAATGCGTTTCACTGATGCCGAGCACCTCGAGGTTGTATCTTTTCATTTCTGCAGCAACTTTAAATAGTCTTCCAGTCTCCCACAATGTACGAACGTTCCTTGTACCTAAAAAAATGGTTGCTCTGGTTGTCAGAAGAGGCATCGGCCCCGTGACTTCCGAGGGAACTCGGCTTTCATCACGAGACGTCATAATTCTTCTTCCAACTCCCAGGGCAGAGTTAAAATGGTTTGAATTATTTTTTCTGGTTAGCGTTTTTTTGGCAAGTGAGATTTCAACGGAATGTGGTCGCCGACCCCATGTCCAACCCTCCTCCTTTATCCGGGCTTGGAACCGGCAGTAGCCCCTAAGGTTCTACTGGCGGAGTTGTTGTCCATGATAGCTAAGCCAATTCTGTCACGAGAATGATGGTTCGAATTCTCACTATTTCCACTAATTAGGCTACTAATCTGCCATAGTTAAGAACTTCTTTGTCAGTAATAGCTAGAAGAATGCTGCTGACGGAGTATATCAGTCCTTTCCAAACTACATCTCGATGGTTAGCTAATGGGAATCGAAGTGCTAATATGTCTCCTTTGATTTCGTGAAGTCATTTGTCTTATTTTTATTCCATACACATGCTATTTCGTCACCCAGAAGTTTCGTTAACTAAGTTAGCACCGAAAACTTCTTTTAGAGTTCCACTTCCTGCCATGAAACGCGTTAAATATATTAGGAAATGTTAGTGTTTTTTGACAGAAAGCTACTTTCCCAACAGTGGTCATCAAAAGTTGTCTGCACCCACCGTTTCCTGCAAAATACAACAAATCTAAAACAGTCGCTCGTTTTCTATACAGAGACTATGAACACACTGGCTAAAAAGCTATGAATTTCTAGCTAAGCACTCCGGCTCGACTTAGTCCTTATAGTAGTGCGCCTTCGGAAACATGAAAAGTATTATGTGTCCCTATCAAATCTGCTGAGTTGCTTTCTCTCACCCTTTCTCTTTCGCTTGGTGATCGACTGAATAATGAATACGTCAACATCTGGAGAGTAGCACGGGATACAATGGGCAACTAGGACCGCAAAACGACTATCAGCTAACAGTAAAGTCGGATTTTTCAATAGGAAGTTAACCTGTTATTACTCGATTGTGAAGAAGATATTGTATATTGAAAAAGTTGATCTGTTTGTAAATGTTGGTACGATATTGAATATTGTAAGGTGATCACAACTCCACGCTACCAACTGGTTTCGATTGTCAGACTCTCTTAACTGTAAGCTCGAACTGTTTCAGAATGTTATCGATTGCTTTCGTTATCAAATGTAAATAAGTTTTATGAGGTTTGTACTGAGATAGATTTCTCTTTCTCAACGTTTGCATTCATTTCCTTCCATTACATATATCACATTGCACCCTTTCGAACTGAAAATTAATTGCTGAATGTGTAGAATAATGGATGAGACAGCTAAAAAAAAGATACAGGCAAAGCGAATGCATTAGAAAAATAAGTCAGTTATTTAAGGAAGTGACAATAATAAAGACTGATCATTTTGGAAACATGTATCAGATGCAGCTGCTTTGAGAGGGAAATGATAATCCGTGTGTAAGAACGCGTTTATCAAGTCTCTTCCTGAAGCTATCCACTGTGAGGGCTGTGATCACTTCGGCTAGGAAAGCATTCTAAGTTAGGACAATTTGTCGTGAGAAGAAGTAAGCATAAATCTAGGTGTTCGTCATTTAGTAAGCAGTTTTTCGAGAGTTACTCCCAACAGTGTGGTGATGATATTTAGGCAAGATGCTCATGTTGGGATGATTTGTCGTGCTTAATATGCTGTAAATACTTGTCAAGTCACCTCTGATTCTCCTGTAACTCAGAGAGAATAATCTGAGGTTTTGGATTCTATCTTCGCAAGGTTCGTTCTTCAAACTTATCACACATTTAGTTGCTCGTCTCCGCACCAGATCAAGGAGATTTATGTATTTCTTGAGGATAATGGGTGTGGAGACGCTGTGAACCTGAAGGTGTGGGCGTGCGTTTGCCTTTAATAGTGTTAAGAATAATTCTCGGATGATCGCATGCAGTTGTCCTCGCACAAAGTGAAGAGTTGCATTAGCCTTGGCTGCACCTACTATGGAAGTTGTTTGTGTCACGTGATGTAGAATGTTCATGATGAGTCATTTCGACTGGTTGAGTTTTAACCGGTTTTCTACTGCTCATTCTTCAGTTGTTGTAAGGTCCTTTTGAAACTCAAAGGAATCCTCTTCGCTTCTTATGGACCCCCATACATGTGCATAGTTTACGTGGATTAGTGCCACTGGGCTAATTTTGTCTAACAGATCATTAATGAATATCATGAAGAGGACGTAACCTAATGTGGTCCTCAGGGGAACTCCTGATGTTGAGACTCGCCAGCTCACATGCACTCTATGCATTTTGGTGCGAGACTTTCTGTTCTCAAGGTAGTTTCTGAGCGAAGATAGAGTTGGATTTGTGAAGTATATCTTCACAAACTTCTCAAGTAAGGGTACGTGAGGTAATGTGTCGAAGGCTTTCACGAATTCAAGGAATACTATGTGAACCGTTGTTTTTAATCGCAGCAGGTTGTCCAGATGTCACATACTATGAGAATGGATGCACATGGCCTGCCTTTCCGAAACCCATGTTGAGCTCCATGGAGGATTCTGTTCTTGTCCATGTACTTCCTCATTTTCTCATTAACCAGTCCTTCCATTATCATCGACTATTGGAAGTAATGCAACTGGTCTGTAGCAAGCTGGATCCTTTCTATCTTCTCTAAAGATTGGAGAACGATTAGCTTGTTTCTGTCCAACTGGAAGTTGGTGTGACTCCAGGGAATGCGTGAATAGGTCCTAACCGGTGAACTGAGGGATTCTGTACACTTTAAAGACTATGAGACGATTATTGTCACATTCTGGTGACTTTTCGGGACGCAACGATTTTAATTTTTTCAGTACTAGGTTAAGTGTAAGTCGGATATCCTCTAGGCAATCAACTGGCATTCTAAATATCGTTTTAAAAGTGTAGGCACTTGGTTTACCTGATCGATGAAGTTGGTGTTGAAGATCTCAGCTACCTCTAGGTTGGTAATATCTTCACCATTCGGACCTCGAGGTGTTTGTTTCAATTATTTAGTTTATTTCATAAGTACAATTTAATAAATTGACAGACATCAAATAATCCATTGTTTTTATCTTTCAGTGTAATCATGGAATCAATCAAAATGAATAATGGTCATTCTATTCCAATTGTTGGTCTTGGGACATGGAATGTACGCAAGAAAAATGTTTCTTTTTTATATTATAAACTGTATAGAGTTATCCAGGGCAAGTTGGAGCGGCTGTGAAAAAAGCCCTAGAAGTTGGTTATCGACATGTGGATTGTGCTCATGTTTATGGAAATGAAGCAGAGATCGGTGAAGCATTGGAAGATGCATTACATAGTCTGAAATTAAAGCGGGAGGATATTTTTGTTACTTCAAAGGTAACTATTCACATTTTTATGTTATTAAAACTATTTTCTAGCTATGGACTACTCACCTTCGATCTGAAAATGTTAGGAAAGCCTGTGAAGTGACTTTGAAGAATTTACGTCTGAAGTATCTTGACTTATACTTGATTCACTGGCCTGTTGCATTTCAAGTAAAGATTGTGTGATTTGTTGACATTAATTTTCATTTAATAGTATAGTGAATCTCTTTTTCCGACTGATTCGAATGGAAAGCTGCGTTTAGACAACGTGCCACATGAAGAAACTTGGAAGGTTTGTCAGTACTAAACATTTGTGTGTAGTTTCTTACTTTGTTTGTTTTTGTGAAGGTGTAGCGCCAACTGTTATGATTAGTGTCTACTCGTACTTGTGTTGTAGTGAAGGCGGTTAAACTTTTGTTTTGCTGATATATGAATCGTGAAATAAGTCATGTATTCTCTGTATATTTCAGTAAAATAATAAGTTGAGTGTTTTGAGGTGACTATAATTTCGGAATAGTTATTTACTATTCGTTTTATAAAAAGATTCTGCAATATAATTTATCTTCGAGATAGTTGATCAGTACGCAATACGACAGGTTTAATTTTAACAGCAACCAATCAAGATCAAGGTTAGCAGAACAAGCTACAGGTCAAACGTGGAGAAATTCGAATGCTTCACTTCTATCTGAATTTGTGCTGATGATGTTGTTCAGAAGAACAATGAAAGCTCCACAACTAAAATACCCAGCTTAGAGAACCAAACACCATCACCACAATCTTATTAAGTTGTATAAGTTCGTTGGATAATAGACTTACAACTTGCGTTAGTGCTGTCCAAAGGTGAATCTCTGCGGGTTTCTGTGCTGATCTTAGTTTCTTCTAGTTTCTTCTTCCTGTCGATGTAGTTACTTTGTAACCTTCATGATGAGTTATTCTTGTAGAATGATCATTAGGATTGAACGATGCAGAGTACTTACTCATGTTTGAAACTGTTTGGAGAATTTTGTTGATTTTACGGACGGCTTTTTATTTACTGAAAAGGCTTTATAAAAGTTGAGTTGTTTGTGGTTAAAATGCTTCGCGTGGTACAAATCTTTAGTTTCTCAGCAAGTTTTACTTACTTTTCGACTCTGTTGGTCCATGTGTTGGTTGTTAATCAGTGGGTAAAGATCACTAACGGTATTAAAGTATGTGGTGTAGAGAAAGTTTAACAGCCTAATTAACTAGAAGTGTTTAACTGTTGTTTTGGCTCATCAAAATCCGAAGCTGAATAGAGTCTGTTATTGCAACTGTGTACAAGAAAATGATGGTTAACTATTCATTTGGCCTAACCAGTGTGTAGGCTAAGCGCAGTTTGAACCAAGAACTTGATGGGTGAAACACCAAGTCATCGTTCCACTTCTTGGTATATTGGGTTTTAGTGGCCCGTGCACTGAATTCCTTATTTAAGGAACGTTCGAGTATTATGTGAAATAAATCTTCCTTTCAGTTTCCAAATGTATTATACTTGGGCGAATCTCGTTTGTGCGATTGCGGTAATTCTATGCCAAATACGTATTCGGTTGAATGAATTTATTACAGGCAATCGTTTGTGCTGAGAAACATAGAAATGTAAAGCATACAAGCAAAGTGAAGCGCGAATTGGAGAAGTTGAGCTAATCAACTCAATGTAATGAGACATAACCAAGCATTTAACAGAGTCACAACAAAAATACTCTAATAGAAACAACCAAGGTATGAGTAAATGATGAACAAGGTCAAAAGACAAGTGAATATGTAACTGGGATAGAGTGGATTCTAGTTAATTTGTCCAAAGGCTAAGAACTAGCCCTCTGTGGGCTTAACATAAAATTACACACATACTTATTTACTTACTTACTTACGCCTGTTGCGCCCAATGGAGCATAGGCCGCCCACCAGTTTTCTCCAACCAACTCTGTCCTGGGCTTCCCTCTCCAGTTCTGTCCAATGTTTGTTCATTCCTCTGATATTTTTCTCTATTTGTCGGCGTAATGTGTTCCTTGGCCTTCCTCTTTTCCTTTTGCCTTGAGGGTTCAATGTGAGGGCTTGTCTTGTGACGCAGTTAGGTGCTTTTTGTAGTGTTTGTCCTATCCACTTCCACCGCGCACACACATTACAGGGTATTAAATTAAGGAATTATTTTGTTCATATGTAATTCATTTGTTAATGGTTTCGTTGCTGTGGCTGACTTACACTCCTTGCATAATATGTATGTGTCTGAAAACGTGAATACACGCTTTGTTGCTTCATGTCTGTCTATACGACATCTCACTAGGTTATATTTAATAAATTCGCTTTTATGTACAACAAAACATTATCTGCCATAACTTCTCCAAACCTAAGTTGTTTTTATACAACCTTACAACTTTCATGACTGGAACTCAACCTAGTTTCTTCTTTTGATTAAAATATTGTATATGCTCACTTGTTATGATTTTTAATTGAAGGAAATGGAAAAACTCGTTGATGATGGTTTAGTCAAATCGATTGGTGTATCCAACTTCAATAAACGACAAATTGAAAATATTCTCAAACATTGTCGTATTAAACCAGCGAATTTACAAGTGGAGATTCATGCTAATTTTCCTAATACAAAATTAGTTGAATATGCTGAATCGGTTGGTTTAACTGTGACTGCTTATGCTCCACTTGGTTCACCTGATGCTTCACCGTGAGTTTCGAGTGATTCAGTGTTTCTTACTCTGTCTTTCTCTTTCTCTCGTGTAAAAAGCATGTTGGATGTCGTCGGTTTTACCTTGTATTACATTTCATAGTTATTTATTTTTTACATAAAAAAGATTCAGTTCGTCAGTTACAAGGTAGAACTTTGTACGTACGTCCATCAGTTCAAGTTGCCATACCAAATGAGCACAGAGTAGAAGAGGTAGAGGTAGTAGAAGTATTAGCAGTAATCGGAGAGATTAAGATTTGACGATATTATTATTATCCCTGGGATTAACGTTCGCATACAGCTAACGAGTCTGAAATAGGACAAAACGCACATGATGGATTCCAGTACTAGTCACTACCGCCATATCTGCCTGTAGTAGATGTTGATGTTATACTGTATTAAGTACGAAAGACTGGTTGACCGATTAGAATACAAACCTTCATAGAGATATCAATCGATCAATGAACAGCAAAGTGGAACTACGTACTTACGTACGTACATCAGTTCAAGTTGCCATACCACATTAGCACAGAGATGTAATTGTCATTTCAAATCCCATAGTAGTAGGGGTAGCAAAAGTAATCGAAGAGATTAGTGTCCAACGATATTATTCAAGAAGTAGAATTTAGTGAAATAAACTTAAAAAGCAAAAGATAAAGGTGATGAGGAATTCAGGAGATTAGAATTCAGAGAACACAAAAAGTGAATGCACCCTGCGTCATTGCAAACTATTTTGAGCCATATCATTCAAGATCTCTAACCATCGATTTGTCATGATGTTTTTTTTGGTTATTCCTGTACATTTCGTCTACCCCTTTCATGCAATTAATTTTTCTACTTTCTTTTAAAGGGGGAGAGTTGATCTACTTACAGAACCTAGGGTTTTAGACATTGCTAAGCATCATGGTAAAACACCAGCTCAAGTTCTGTTGCGTTATTTAATCCAACGAAATTTGATAGTAATTCCGAAATCTGTTACACCGAAGAGAATCGAAGAAAACTTTCAGGTATGACTGGTTTACATTAATGTGGAAATATTTCATGTAATCTATTAACAATACTCTTTATGGATCAGTAAATTTCTCTGACCTAAAAAAAAATTACTCACGTTTATTTGACGTTGAAGAAAGAGGTTAACCAGTGTGTGCATGTGTCTCCCCCCACTAATATCTAGATTTAAGTGTTTAGTTTAGCAAACCATATAAGTATACAGAGATATAATCGTCAATTAAAATCTCATTGTAGTAGAGGTAGTAGAAGTGTATGAGCAACAGTCGGGAAGATTAAGGTTTGAAGATATGATTCAAGAAGTATAATTCAGTAGAATAAACTTTAAAAGAGGGAAAAAAACGAAATGGTCATGAAGAATTTGAGAGAAAAAGCAAAGAATCGGTGTACCTGCGCCATTGCAAACAGTTTTGAGCCACACCACCCAGAGTCTCCAACTACTGGTTGCGATTGTCTCATCGACCCCAAACAGGTGGCAATAGTCTACACCTACCAACGTGACTCAGTTTAGTTTATGTTATTTTCACACACACATTAAATGTTCATTTTGGAAATTATCCTAGAGAGAGAGAGAGAGAGAGAGAGAGAGAGAGATAATATTATTTTCGTCTAGTGTTATCATACTACTCAATGATAACTTTGCTTCATTATAATCTAATGTCAGAATGAGGGAGAGTGGAATGCCCTGACAGACACTGTTTGAAGTAAAGAATTCTGATGACAGTTTGCCATAAGCTCTCACTGTACTCTCAATGTACTTCTTTTGTACACCTTTTACTGACAGACACTGCCACAGTATCTCACAATCGACAGAGTCAAATGCCGACCTAAAATTGAGAAATACTACTATTTTCGGGTGTCCGAACGTAGTGTGAATATTTGGTCAATACATCCACGTTCAAGTCGAAAACCAGCCATAATCACTCTACTGTCATAAATAGTACATTGTGTTCATGTAGTAGGATCTGGTTGACAATATTATGTTCAAATTCTTTAAATAATAATCTTTCTTCTTAATTTTGTTATTCTTCATTGAAGGTGATGGATTTTCAATTGTCAAAAGAGGAAATGCATGATTTACACACGAAAGGATTAAATGAGCGTCAGTTGGAAGTTTCGCCGTAAGTTCGTTCATTTTGTGATTTATAAATCTTAACCTTTTTTTTGTGAATTATTTCAAATGTCAATTCAAATTAGTTTTAATCACTGTTATCCGTCATTTATTAAGTCAATCAGTAACAATGTAGGACTTCATACTTCTACTTATATCAGTTCAAGTTGCCATACCGCATCAGCACAAACTTCAATTGTAAAGGAAGTGAAGTATTCGAATTTCTCCATGTTTGATTCGTACCTTGTTGTTCTGTTAACTTCAATCTTGATTGGTTGTTGTTGTTGTTGACCTTAAAGCTGTCGATGTTTGCACTATTTATTATTTTGATTGGATTCCCCCTTTGGTTTGGTTCTTGATTCTATTTCCATCAATCAATATCGAGGTTAAAGTAGAACAAGCTATGAGTCGAATGTGTAGAAATTCGAATACTTCATTTCTTCTACATCTGAAGCTGATGATGCTGTGTTCAGAAGAACAATGGAAGCTCCATAACTCAAGAACATTGAGCTCAGAGAATGAAACACCACTGCAGTTATCCACCGGAGTTGTTGTAAATTTTCTTCAGCAGCTGAAAATCCAATAGAATGAACTTAAAGCTCCCTATGGAATACAGTGTTTTTACTTGCCCATTGAATAGATAAAATACACTGTGGTGGTGATATCTTTTCTTTTCTGTTTTCTAAATTCTATAGAATGGCCGCTCATCCTGAATATCCATTCAAAGACGAGTATTGAGGATATATATATATATATATTCATCCGAATGAACGGCGGCTAGTCAGTCTGTGGAATAGAGAATTTGACTTGATTACATTTCTAATCATGTTATTATTTGGTTTGATATGTTTTTGTATTTGTATGTCGTCTGTTTTTGTTCAATAATAAATAAAATCTTGTTATTCATTTCAAGTTTTTATCTTTTTTCCTTCTTCTTCATCTAAACCTTTGATCTGTCGTTACGTACGGTGACGACAGATTTGTCAAAATGTTTGATTGTGTATTTTTGATTTTTGTATTGTTTTGTTGTATAAAGTTCGAAAGTTTCACCAGCAACTTGAAATTATTCATTCGCTGTTTCATGATTCTGCATTTTAGCTGGATAAAAATAATCATTGTTAATCTGTAAATAAGCCTATCTCAGGTGGTCTGTAACGATCAAACTAGCCACCTCCATTGCCATAACTGATTTTGTGAGATATCAAGACTTGTAAACTAAAAACCGTTGGGACGACTACTTGATGTGTATGTTTGCAAATATATATCAATTCTGTGGGCTGTGGTCTGTATCATTTATGATGTGCGTAAGTATGTGCAAAGGATATGTGCCAATCTTTATCAAAAGAGCTGTTTGCCACCTGATTGACTTAGTAGTTCATTTATCCAATAATCTTTAGTAGTAGTCTGTTTGTTTAACAATTAAACTCTTAATAAATATTGAAAGTTATAGTTGTAGTGTTCAGGTGAACGGATTTGTGTGCATCTTGACTCAACTATAGTAGTTTTCAACCTTGTGAGCAGTGATTTTCACACTTTTCTGGTTCTTTTTATCTCTGTAAGGTTTGAACTGTTTCAGATGTTAGCTTCAAACGATCTATTGTACGAGTTAGTTTAATCCGTTCATGTGTTTCAGTACTTTTTTACCCTATCCTGTAATGTAGCAGTCAACCCTTTTAGAGAAACAGACTGAACTACAACAAACTTTGTTTTCATGAATATTATTAAGTACCGGATCTATTTAGGAGACAGTCATGTTTTTGCGGACGTGATTTGTTTATTTTACTAAGAGGCTCAACAGTTTTAAGATACAGAAACCAGATAAATTTTAGTAAAGCATCGATAATCTATCACATGGTAAACTATTGAGCAACATATACCCACCAGAGGAAATACATAAATTCAGTTAGGTCCGCAGAATTGATTAGGAACTGTTGTTTCATTCTTCAGATTAGAAACGGTTAGCCAATCTCTATCGTAAATTCGAGTAAATTATTAATGATCACAAAGTCGACCATCATTTTCCATTATACTTAACAGGTTGGGCTTTTTTTTTCTTGCTAAGTTCCGTTAAATTTCGTTGACGAAACTCAAATAATTGGACTGAATTAATAGGGAATGGATGTTTTGATAGAATCAAGGTCGTCTTATGTTATAATACTGATAGTTACAAGCTTAACTGACAAGTAATCATCGCATATTAAACTGACCTTTTTGTATCTTGAGCGGAAATAGTGGCTAGCAGTGAAATCCACGACCTGCGTTTCGTCTTATTTTAGACTCGGACATCTGAATGTACCTACATCTTAGGGTGGATGTTCACTCCAGCATTTCTGCTTAAAATGCTTTTGAATTTCATGGCTTATATTTAGACAAACAGCACAGGTTATACATAAGTCAAATGAGACTGATCAATCGCAATCCTGACTAAAAATGAGATACAAATGAATTCTTTCTGTAATCTCTGTATGTATGTATGTAGTATGTATATATGTATGTGTGCTGTTACGGGTTTGAGGGCGGTTGTCACTTCCCGGCTGCCGGCACTGTGGGAGGGTATTTCATAAGGAACCCGAAAGGGAAGGTAGATTAGCTTTGATCTAAGAGACCTGGGAGCGTGACCGCAGAGCCCAAGGGACAACTGCTTGAGGGAGGTCGCGCTCTTTTTAAAATCCTTACCTCCGGAGACAGAAATCCATGAGGTAAGGTGAGATGTAACATTTTTAGAGTCAAGCTTTTCCAAAACCTTCCCTTTGTGAGAAGGCAGCATCACCACAGATTCTGGTTGTCGGAGGGAAACACCTTACTGCTGTCACACCGGTCAGCAGTGCAACTTCGCCTTCAGTCATTGAGTAGCTGATTTTAGTCTCATCGTTCTCCAATGGACCTGCTTGGCATGGTAGAACCTTCAGGAACATATGTTCCAACCAATATAGCTCGTTTGGGTCATCACGATAGGCTAACCCGACCACCACGTCAAGGAAGCAGATACCTGTAGAAAAACATTACTACATGTCGTTAAATTGAATTATTAACAAGTTCTTAGAAGTTTGTCTGTTGTGAATGAAATCAGTGTTTGATATTGTTGACTTATTGCAAATCCTTCAGTTTACTGACTGGCATTTGTAAGTTGGAATATTGGAACAAAATTATCGTTCAGTTAACACTTCTGATTGCCAAGTCTAAGAACAATTGACCCTTCGGGTATATCATTGATCCTCGTTACTTTTGTCATTAAAGAAGTTCGTTGATCGTAACACTGGTCAATTTTCGGTTTACTCTGTCGATTATCTATCTTTTTCGTAGGCCCAGTTGAACTTGTGGGAGACTAGTCTTGATTTTATGATCAGTTGTCTTTAATTTCTATCGCCTTGAGGTGTAGCACTAGTCATCTGGTGACATACTCCCAAATACTGTAGCTTTCTAATTGTGTATAGTACTATTTGATATCAGAATTATAAGTAATCAACTGGTTTCTAGTCAGTAGTATTTCGGTTGTGCTAAGATTGTTGTACTGATGTATTTCTGTAAAATAGTTTTATATGTATTGCTTGTTACGAAACAGGTACTAGGTAAGGATAGCAGATCAATTGATGAAGTAGTGACACTTCATGAGTTGAGATGGTGGTTTGGATATGTGTTGCGTATGCCTAACCACCGACTGCCTCATCGAGTGGCTAATTAGTAGTTTATTACTGAAATCATGAATCAGTCAAGTTGTTAGACCACCATTCGAAACCTTAAAACACTGGACGGCCGTTTCGTCCTAGTTTGAGACTCATCAGTGGCAGTGTGCATCCATGACTTGTGCTTCTCGCAGGGTTCGAACCCAGGATGCGAACGCTTGACCACTTGGCCGGTATCCAACAGTGTTAATGCCTAACTTCTGATCAATCCAAAGTATTGCGTAACCTCATCAACGACTCAGCCGCTCAGTACTTTTAGATTTCTATTACTGATCTAACAATTTGATTGATTCATGTTTTCAGTAATCAATAACAATCTTTATAATTTTTAGTAGTTTTATATACAAACGATTTTAGAGCTAAAATTATAGTACACATCTATTAAGTTTCAGGAATAGAGTTGTTTCTTATTTTATGATAAACTTTTGTAAGTTTGTTCTCAGTTTTAAATCATCAGACAGAATGTGTATTTTGTGTTGTATTGAGAGTTCAATTTGTCTACACAATATCACAACAGATAGATTTTATTGAAAAATAGTTTGAATAATGTTTTTTTGACCTAAAAAAAAATCATAATTTCATCTCATAAAAGTATGTAAATATGTTGATATAAATAGTGAACCAATCAGAAATGGCCAAATGTTGATAATCATTTGATAATGTCCTAGAGGGTGAATGGATATGATTGGTCAAGAAATGGATTCATTTACTAAGGGAATCGGGATATGTATATAAATAGACGAGTATTTGTACATATTATTATTATTATTAGTATTATTCGGCCGCTAAATTAACTTTCTCTTCTATTCTTGTCTTCTCGCTCAAGTCAGCTACAACGTAGAACTTTGTACGTACCTACATCAGTTCAAGTTGTCGTACCACATTAGTAGTAGAGGTAGTAAAAGTATGAGCAGTAATCGGGGAGATTAAGGTTTGAAGATATTATTCAAGAAGTAGAATGTAGTGAAATAAACTTAAAAAGAGAAAGGTAAAGGTGATGAGGAATTTTAGAAGATTAGGATTTATGAGAACACAAAGAGTGGAGGTACCTATGCCATTGAAAACGATTTTAGGTCATGTCATTTAAGATCTCTATCCATTGGTTAATATCATCTCACGGACCCCAACCAGTTAGTCTACACGACCCTACCGTAGCTGTTCCCTTGACGTGGTGATTGGGCTTGCCTATCGCGATAACCTGACCAAGCTATATTGGTTGGAATATATATTCCTGTAGGTTCTACCATGCCAGGCAAGTCGATTTGAGAACGATGAGACTAAAAGCAGCTACTCAAGGTTTGAGGGCGAAGTCTTACTGCTGACTATAGAGGGTGTGACAGTAATAAAGTGTTTCCCTCGGACAACCAGCATCTGCAGCGATGCTGCCTTCTCACAAGGATGGAAGGGTTAGAAAATGCCAGCCCTAAAAATGTCACATCTCACCTTACCTCACGGATTTCCATCTCCGGCGGTAAGGCCTTTTAAAAAGATTGGAGCTAAAACTTCAAATACCTTTCATAAAAGGGCCGTGCGTGACCGGCCTCAAGCAGTTGTCCCTTGGACTCTGAGGTCACTCTCACAAGTCGTTTAGACCAACGCTGATCTTTCTGTTTTAGGTTCCTCAAGAAACACCCTTTCACCGTAAGGGCAGCCGGGAAATGACATCTTCCCTCATACCCGTACCAGCACACGAGTCTACACGTACTAGCATGACCCAATCCAGTTGTCAGTGACTTCATAGATGTGCGCCATGTTTTTCATTTGTCCATGTGTTTGGAGGTTTAAGTGTGTATCACGTTCCGATGTAAGATAACGTCTATCATAATAACATATGTTATTGTAAGCTCACATATGAAAATATTATTAGACTACTACTGTATTGTAATTCTGAAGCAATTTTAAAATATCTTTTCTTAAACTCGTGTTCATTTCAAATAACCAAATATAAATATAGTCTAGAAAATTCAGTTTATCAGTAAAATATGTCTAGTAGTGTATACTTTAAAACTTTACTGAAATAGAGTATTTATAAAATTCACTAGTAATTACAATTAAAAATCATGAATCAATCAATGTCAGACCAACATTAGAGACCTAGAAGCACTGAATAGCCATTTCGTCTTAATATTGGTAGTGCACACCCGTGACTCCCGCTACTCGCGGGATTCGAACGCAGGACCTTCGGTCTTGCGCGTAAACGCTTAACTTCTGGACTGTTGTTAGGATATTCATCCAATATCCTAAGAGAATTATTGGTCAATTCCTATTGGTTGATTCTTACTCGTCAATTTTATGGTCGTCCTAGATGTCAATGTCACGTGCTCCAATGTTGTTTCTTATTGGTTGTCCTGACTATCAATATCACTTCAAATGTTGCTTCCTATTGGTCGTCTTAACTGTCAATGTTACAGAATCCGATGTTGTTTCCTATTCGACCAAAATGTATGAATACGCATGATTTGTAACGTTTTATGACCGCGACCAGGACCCGGTCACGGATCCCTAATTCGGGATTCTCTTCTTGATTCGGACCTCGTACTTTCTGGATTCTTGTAGAATACAGGTTTTACTTCATATCAAGTCTTGTCTTCTTTTACTCAATATAGGGGTTGGGACACTCGGATTAGTGAAGCATGTCGTGTCACCGGATCCTCGATCCTCGTTCTCGCGTTTCCGACTAGGTGAACTCGTCATAGTTCAAGTATATCTCAAGTTGACGTGTTTACGTGCAGGCGTAACATTTATATCAAAAGATATTCCTTCGCTACATACGACGTACTGACCTAAATTCACTTAAATAATAGATAGATTCCTGTGGGAGGAGATCATGATTTCCTACTACTTTTGATGAGTCACATATCAGGAGGGACGAAACGGCTGTCCATTGTTTCCAAATTTCTAATGGGAGTTTAATAACATTGATCGATTCATGATCCCAATAAAATAACTTAACAATCTTAACAAAACATACTGACTTTTTTTTCTCTCTTAAATTTAAGAATCTTTAACAACATACAGCATGAAATCAATCCTCATGAACAATGGCTGTTCTATTCCTATGATTGGTCTTGGTACATGGAATGTAAGAGAGATTGTTATTATTAATTAATTATTTTTTGTAGAGTCCACCTGATGAAGTCGGTGCAGCAGTGCATAAAGCATTAACCATTGGTTATCGTCATTTAGATTGTGCTTATATTTATAAAAATGAAAATGAAATTGGGTTGACTTTAGAAAATTCTATGCAAAGTTTGAAATTAAATAGAGATGATTTATTTATTACATCTAAAGTAAGTAAATTGTAATCGTATTTTTTTTTCAAATGGTGGTTTTTTAATGTGTAATTATTTGATTTAAACAAATAAATATTAGTACAACAAGGAACATGAATATTTCATGCCCTAGTTCTATTGGTCAATTCCTATTGGTCAATATTATGGTCGTCCTAACTGTCAGTCACTTCAAATGTTGTTTCCTATTGGTTGTCCTAACTGTCAATGTCACATACTTCAATGTTGTTTATCATTCGACCTTACTGTATAAATATGCATTATCTGTAACGTTTGATGATCCGGATCCTCATTCTCTTGTGGATGCTTGTAGAATGCACGTCCTACTTCATATCAAGTTTTCTTCTTTTACTCAATGAGGGTTCGGGACAATCGGATTAGAGTAGCTTGTCGTGTCGCTGGATTATCGATCCTCGCTCTGGTTTTCCGACTAAGGTAAACTCGTAATAATTCAAGCATATCAAATGAAGTGTTTACTCGCATGCGTAACACCTACACAAATTATTGGACTGGGCTACTGCCTAGGTGCCTGAATGTAAACATGTAGTTTGCCTGGGTGGTCATTCCATGAGACTTTGACCTACAAGTCTAATCCACAAGCGCAGTTCCATGGTAGTCAGTTAGTGACTGATAATAGATTCTATAAGTCATTTGCTTCATCAGAATCCTGGAGCTCACATACACTGTTGTTTTAAAATCTAGGTTTCTCATTTTGTCCTGGGGTGAATTCGTCGTATCTACCAATTCAGCTTAAGTCTCTACGGGACATTTGCTTTTCATCATCTCCATTCTTGTTTAATTTTATAATAGACATGCTCCTAGACATAACATTATCCTCATCTGAATTTTCAGGAGTAGACCTTCCACCAGGAGGCATGCTTATTGACTTAGAATATGCCGATGACATAGTTGTACTTGGTGAAGACGCTGACAAAGTGCAGAGTCTTCTGAGCGTCCTTAGCAACAATGAAAGCATGTTCGGAATGCGGTTTTCCCCCTTGAAATGCAAAATGTTGCTTCAAGACTGGGTTTCATCGGCACCTGAACTAGTGATAGGGAGTGAAGTAGTCGAACGTGTAGACCGCTTCACTTATCTTGGGAGTCTCATCAGTGCTGATGGCCTGGTGACTGACGAAATCTCAGCTCGGATACAGAAGGCTCGATTGGCTATTGCCGACCTGCGTCACTTATGGCGTAGGCGTGATATCCGTTCTCTAATCAAAGGACGAGTGTACTGCGCAGTAGTTTGCTCCGTCTTACTTCATGGCTGTGAAACATGGCAAGTGGGAGTAGAAGATATTCGTAGGTTACTAGTTTTCGATCATAGGTGTCTTCGAAGCATGGCTCATATATCCTGAGACACCCGAGTGAGCAACGCTGTTATTAGGAAACGGGTGCTAGTTAAGAATGGCAGATCAATAGATGAAGTAATGAAACTTCATGAGTTGAGGTGGTTGGAACATGTGTTGCGTATGCCTAACCACCGTCTGCCTCGTCAAACTTTGTTTTGTGGTTTAGGAGTAGGTTGGAAGAAAGTTAGGGGCAGCCAGACCAAAACATGGCACAAATCCATGAAGTCATTGACAAGTGGACTGAGTCATGTCGGTAGGTGTCGACTACTTGGTTAGGGTCCGCGAGATGATAATAATCGATGGTTAGAGACCTGGAATGACATGGCTAATCCTAACCTCTCCGATTACTTCTAATTCCTTTGCTACCTCTTTCCAAGTTAAATAGATTTGTACATATTTCTTCTATGCTCATGATAATCATATTTTAACATTATATTTACTTTTCGCTATTATTAGTTATGGCATACAGGACATCGTCCAGAAAATGTTAAACCATTTTGTGAAATATCATTAAAAAATTTACGATTAAATTATTTCGATTTATACTTGATACATTCTCCAGTATCTTTTAAGGTAAGCTTAATATTTGCATTACAGTGTATTGAGATTAAAGATTCCCATTGTGAAAATTGCGAACAACACATATATTCATCGAACAATAGTGTTGTTGTTTTCGATTTGATTGTCAGTCAAAAAATAATACTCAGTTCAATCTTAGCACACCTGATTGATTGATAGTGGTCGCATTGTAGATAAGTCTAGATCTTTTCGAGTGATCTATCTTGTATACCTCCATCATTTCCCAACGGAGGAGTTCGATCCCGTCTCGTGCACACACACATTGCAGAAGCCATAGGAATACGTACATTCAACCCCAATTTATGTGATCAGAAGAAATTCATGACACCCCTATCTCTTCCGTGGCTGGATATGACGTAACTAACGATTGACATTATATTTTTTATTTTTGCACATTTGCTTATTACGTAATGGTTTTGATGTTATCAATGATTATTTGAAGTCTATGCATCCACGAGGTTTGACCTAATATTGACAAATCTTTAGTTACACATTTTTGAAAGCATGAATCGATCAATGTTAGACCACCATTAGAAACGTGGAAGCACTGAAAGACGGCCGTTTCTTCCTGGTATGGGACTCATCAGCAGTTAGATGCCGTTAGATACCGGCTCAGTGGTCTAACGCACCACACCGAAGGTCCTGGGTTCGGGTCCTGCGGGGTGCAGGAGTCACGGATGCGCAATGCTGAGGAGTCCCATACCAGGACGAAACGGCCTTTGATTGCTTCCAGATTTATAATGGTGGTCTAACATTGATCAATTCATGGTTTCAAAAATCTTTAGTTATCATATTTTATAATTTTCTTACCGCTATCCATTTATACTTTTGCCTAATAGAGGTGTAGTGACGTAATCTCTCTTTCATTTCATTATGATGATTATTGACTCATAAATTGCCTTGATTGGTTTAACATTTTCATTCATGTATATTAGAGAGTAAAGCAGCCTGATGACGATCTAATCGAAAATAACAACACTATTGTTCGCTTATTTATGTGTTGTTGTTCTAAGTAAATATTTGTTTATGTTTTTAAAAAGAAAAAAGTATCATCATACCATTCTGTTAAAACAACGAATATGAAATGAAAGAAATTCGTGAATATTGAATGCATTTAAACTGTTCGCGCGCTGTGGTATTATTTTACTTACGCTTGTTACCCCCAATGGAGCATAGGCTGCCGATCAGCGAATAATTTTTTATGGTTAGTGTTTCTCCTTAGCGAGTTGAATTTCTACTCGGATGGGGTCACTAAGACCATGCACCTAACCCTTCTCCTTTATCCGGGCTTGGGACTGGCAGTAACTGTAGATGGTTTCCAGGAAAAGTTACTTAGTGGTTTACTCCATGTTTTCTCTAGCTAAAACAGTACATTACAGTACAAAATGATAAGCGAGTTGGGAACTAGTCAAAGGTAGACCAGATGAAGAAGACATGATATCAATTCACAACTAATTAGTAGTCTGAACTAAGTTGAGAATTCCTTTGGATTGTCATGTCTCAGTACTCATTGATTGAAAATCATTTAAAGTTGATTCACAATAAATCTCTACTTACACCTGTTACCCCCAATGGAGCATAGGCCGCTGAGCAGTATTCTACAGTCTACTCTTTCCTGGGCTTACCTGTCTAGTCCTTTCCAATTTTTGTTCATTTTTCTCGTGTGATTCTCTATTTCTCGGCGTATTGCGTTGCTTGGCCTTACTCGTTTCATTTGAATTTGAGGATTCCATGTGAGGGCTTGTTTTGTGACGCAGGTGGGTGCTTTTCGCAGTATGTGTCCTATCAACTTCCAGCGCTTCTTCCTAATTTCTTCCTCAGCTGGAATCTGGTTTGTTCTCTCGCACAGTACGTTGTTGCTGATCGTGTCTGGCCAACGAATCCGAAGTATTTTGCGTAGACAACTGTTAATAAACTCTTGTATCTTCTGGATGATGGCTTTGGGAGTTTTCTAAGTTTCCTCCTCATACAGTAGAACTGTCTTGACATTTGTATTGAAAATCCTGATTATGGTTTTGGTTGAAAGTTATTTAGAGTTCCAGATGTTCTTCAATTGTAAAAATGCAGTCCTTGCTTTGCTGATCTGCGCTTTTACAACTAGTCATTATTGAAAGTGTTTATTAACAGTTGTTTCAGCAAAATACTGCAGATCCATCGGTCAGACACCATCAACAACTGGCTACTACCGTGGCAGAGAACAAATCAGATTCTAGCTGAGGAAGTAATTAAGATAGAGCACTGGAGTTGGTGTATAGGACACACATTACGGAAATCATCCATCTACATCACGTGGCAAACCCTAACATGAAACCATCAAGGTCAAAAAGACAGAAGATAAACCAAGGAATACACAAAGTCGAGAATTAGAACTGGTAAGAAAGTTTCACAACACTGGAAGGTTGCAGAATGTTGGCCAGCGAATGATCTAGTGAATAGTTTTTCACTTATTGTCGTTTGGAGTATTATTCATATTCGACTATATATATGTATATATACCCAGTTTATTTTGTGATTCAATCCCATTTTTCAATAGGCTGGCACTGTTGATTTTCCTACTGATGAAAATAATAACCCACTGTTTGATACAGTTCCACTTGAAGAAACTTGGAAGGTTAGTCTATCTATCTATCTGTCTGTCTGTCTCTCTCTCCATGTATATATATATATATATATATATATATATATATATATATATATATATAGCACCATTATTGGGTTCGTCACTAAGTATGCTTGAGGCTATTACGAGTTTACCTTAGTCGATAAACGCGAACAAGACTTTTACCAGCGTCAAGGTAGGGCTACCTTGAATCCAAACGGTAAAACAGAAGTCTTGGTAAGCGTAGAAAGTATATTCTACAAGCACCGAGCAATCACACAATACAATCAAGCATACACCTCTCGTTTATTTATACATCATAGAAACGTCCTTGGGACAGTTAAGAAAATAGCACACTAAAATACACAGCAGCCAATCACAGCCACGGATTTTCCTGGTGGGAATTGAAATCTCAAGGTCAACCGATCAGCCCATGCTCGTTAACGTGAAAACCAAAATAAGGCATTTATCAAGCAAGTTTTAGGGATCTAACATCCCCAACAACCATGGAACTCCGTCTGGAACCTAAGAGTATCATATATTACTTTTTCTTACGGGTTTCTATCATCATCGACCTTGGAAGAACAAAGCTTAAGTATCAAGACTATATATAATATGTGCCTAATCTCAAACAATTGTCTTTTAAATAATGAGTTAATGGTTTAAAACATTCTGGAGTCTTTCATTCAATTAAGTTTCTTATTGAAATATTACAAGAAGCAGTATTTTTTTCAGTGTATGGAAAGATCAATTTCTACAAGTTTTTAAAACAAGTTGTGAGAACTCGTTACAAACGTATATAAACATATATATATTTTTTTAAACCATGAATCGATCAATGTTAGACCACCATTAGAAACCTGGAAGCACTGGACTGGATGGTTTCAAAAAATGTGTAATTTAACAATCTTCACAACCCCGTGATGCAGGTTACTACCTGTGCTTACTAGTGACTAGCTTGGTGAGGAATCTTCTCCGAGTTCTAGTGAGAAGACGTGACCAGTGAAGTTCAACCTGTTCGGGTGTAGGCAGTAACTACCTAAGACTGTGTATGAGGTTGCGCAACTCCGTGAATTTGATCAAGTTAGACTTTAACAACGTTAGATACCGGCTCAGTGGTCTAACGGTTAGGGCGTTCGCGCTCAATACCGAAGGTCCTGCGATCGAATCCTGCGGGGTGCAGGAGTCGTGGATGCGCACTGCCTAGGAGTCCTATACCAGGACGAAACAGCCGTCTTTCAGTGCTTCCAGGTTTCTAATGGTGGTCTAACATTGATCGATTCATGGTTTCAAAAATGTATAAGAATATATAGTCAGGCAAATATAAGACAGACATGCAACAAGCGAGATAGGCTTACATAAATAAAAGCGACAAATAGTTGACAAGGTCACATAACAAGTGGAACACATCATGTGAGCTCATACAAACCAGACAATAATAAGAACGAATGGTACATATAAATTGTTGCAATACAAATTGGCTTGGTTGGTTAAATAAATTAGTCGAAAGGGCTTAACCAAATTAAATGTAAGCGAACTGGAATGTATGTGGAGGTACTACAATGTCTTGATAAGGAGTAGAAAATGTCTTGTACAGCCAACCACCCAGAAGATACGAGGTTATTAAGTACACAAATCAATCTTATTTATACAATGACAGCAACGCCCTTAGGAGAGCCATAAAAATAGCGTACTAAAATAATCCATCAACAACCAATGACAGTCAAGGATTTTCCAACTGGGAAATATGAGCTGAAAGTCAACTGACTGACTTATGCGCGAAAACATAAAAAATATCCAAAATTAGGACTCTTTCCAAATGAGTTCTGAGGATCCATTGCACCTAACAACTTCTAATTGCATAATGAAATTCATTGTTTTACTGTAATGTTTCAATCGCCATCTTGTTGACATTGATAATAATCTTGATTTTTATACTGATTAGATCTTCAATGTCTTTGAAGTCACATCAACTGAAATCACATGCCTTATCGACACTTTACATTAGCTCAAATTGGTAGAAATACATGAAGTCACTGACAAGTGGACTGAGTCATGTTGGTAGATGTAGGCTACGTGGTTGGGGTCTGCGAGACCATAGTCACCGATGGTTAGAGATGTTGAACGACATGGCTCTGAATCGTTTGGAATGGCGCTGGTGCATCCACTATTTGTATTTTCTCTAGTTCTAACCTTCTGAATTCCCCATAATCTCAAACCTTACTCCGTCTAAATTTATCTTACTGAATTATACTTTTCGAATCATATCTTCGCTCCCTAATCTTCTCTATTACCAGTGATACTTCTACTATTACTATCACTCTTGTATTTGAACTGACAGTTACGTCTTTGTGCTGATGTGGTGGTATGGCAACCTGAACTGATGTACTTATGTACGAAGTTCTTCATTGTATCTATCTGTCTGTCTGTTGTTGTCGTCAGAAGGGGCATCGGCCTCATGACCCCCGAGGGAATTCGGCTTTCATTATGAGACCATGTAACTCTTCTGAATGAAGATCTTAAGTGGTTTAAATTGTTTTTGCTGGTTAGCGTTTTTGTTCTGTGAGTTAATTTTCTGAAGGATGGCGTTGCTAACTCCACACTCAGCCCTTTTCCTTTTTTCGGGTTTTGGACGGGCAGTAGCTTCAGGGGGGCGTCTAGGCAGAGTTATTATTATTACTGTTGGTAATGATTATTATCGTATTCTCCCTATCTTTGAAGGCAATGGAAAACCTGGTTGATGAAGGTTTAGTCAAATCAATTGGTCTTTCGAACTTCAATAAACGACAAATTGAAACTATACTCAAACATTGTCGTATTAAGCCAGCAAATTTACAAGTGGAGATTCATGCTAATTTTCCTAATACAAAATTAGTTGAATATGCTCAATCGGTTGGTATAACTGTAACTGCTTATGCTCCACTTGGTTCACCTGCTCGTTCACCGTAAGTAAAGTTTATTGCATAATCCTCCTTTCATGTGTGCATTGTGTTTGTTAATGTTTGATTTGACAATTGCATTTGTGTGTGCTAATGTGTGGTATGGCAACTTGAATTGATGTACGTACGTACGAAGTTCCACGGTGCTGTTTATATATATATATATATATATATATATATATATATATATATATAGTTTGGTAATGTTGATGCAATCATCCTTACAGTTGTGCGCTGTTTTAGACACTTATCACTTGCGTATACCTACAATCTTAGGGGAACCGATGCTATTGGTTGGGATTTGAATTCGCGCTCTCCATCTACACAACCTTGAGAATTTACTATTAAGTTGTTTGCAATACTTGATCAATAAAATGTATTCAGCAGTAAAAAATACTAGACATACATAACAATGTTAGTCACTGTTCGGTGATCAGTTACTCATTGAAGATATTTTAGTACTGAAGGCGTGTGATTCATGTTTCATTGGTTCAGTGGTAACATTTTTTGAATTGTGAAATTGAACGATACAGGTCTAAACTCCACGAGTGTTATCATTTCCCTTAAGGCTTACATGTACAATTTACTGACGAGTGTTGATTGGGACGAAACCCCAACCAAAAGAGAGCTTTTACCTCTTCATTAGAAAACATAGTTTTGTATGTGAGCTATGAGAGATATTCTCCTCAGGCTATAAAACGGAGGCAGATCATTGTCTGAAAGGATTCTACTGAGAGCATTTAATTTGAAAAGTATTTTGTGGCTCTCACCAAACAAGTTTTATCATTGTATAAATAAGCTCGATTTGTGTGGTTGCTGACCTCGTACTTACTAGGTGCCGGAGGAATATATTTTCTACCTCTTACTAAGACTTCTTAGTGGGGCGGCCAGACCCAAACATGACACAAATCTATGAAGTCACTGACAAGTGAACTGAGTCATGTCGGTAGATGTAGGCTATCTGGTTGGGGTCCGCCAGACGAAAGTAACCGATTGTTAGAGACCTTGAACGACGTGGTTCAAAACCGTTTGCGATGGCGCCGGTGTATTTATTCTTTGTGTTCTTTCAAATCATAATCTTCTGGATTCTTCAACCCCCCTTTCTAAACTTTTCTTTTTGAATCATACTTCTTGAATAATATCTTCTAATCCTAACCTCTCTCCGATTACTTCTAATACTTTTACTACCTCTACTACTATTGGATTTGAATTGACCATAACATCTCTGTGTGCTAATGTGGTATGGCAACATGTACTGATGTACTTATGTAGGAAGTTCTACGTTCCATCTGACTGACTGACTGACTGACTAGTTAGTGGGGCCGGGGACGATCAGATTAGATTAGCCTATCGTATCGCTGAATCACTGATAGTCGTTCCGGTCACCGAGTAACGTAAACTCGTAATGCTTGATTTTCATATCTCATGAAGCACCCGAAAAAATTCATACAAAAATACAAATTTAAGATTAAAAATTCCTAATTTTTTTGTTTTCAATTCTTTTATCTAGTTTATCAGCAAATTTACTCACTGCACCATGGATAATGGCCATGGCAGAAAAACACAACAAAACACCAGCACAAATTTTATTACGTTATTTAATTCAACGTGATATTATTGTTGTGCCAAAATCAGTTACTAATGATAGAATAGTAGAAAATTTTCAGGTTTGTTTATTATTATGATCTTTATTCTTCTTAAATTATGACTTGTTTATTTTTAGAAAAAAATGATCAGTTTTTTAAATTTGAGGTCATAGATAAGAATGGATTGATCGCCTGACAAAAGTCAACCTTCTATTTTTTCTCATGTCAGGTTGTGGTGATTGAAGTAGAGTGGGTGTAGTTGTTAGGAGACGCTGTGTAACTTAGGTTCCTCGCTATTTGGCACTCGTCAACAAGATCCAAGTGTGATGCTCTCTGACAGATTGAATGCAATGGGTATCTGTTATTTATTGAAACTCGTTTGATATGTGGCATCAATATTGATTACTATATAAACGATAAATTTTTGAGGTGTCTTGTGAATTTACGCGTTATTGTACAGTCGAGACAATTATGTTGAATACATAAGTGATATAAGAATTTTACTGGTGTATAGCAGCCGTTAGCTGTGACAGTTACATTCTTGGATATAACAATCGAAATCAGAGCTAGGAACATCAAAATACATCAACTGATACCATTAAACAGATATGTTTAATGAATACATTTAAAGTAAAAGTAGATGTGTAAATTGTCAAAAAAACTCACAAATTGCAGTCACATACATAAACAGAATGTTATACAAGTTCATGCCAAACTAGTCAAGTAAATCGATTTGAAAATGTAGGCCGATATGCAATTGATGCTCGAAAATGATTGATAATGACATTAGTTACTGAATATTTGTAAGTAACATAATGCAATACACTAAAATATCAAATCAAATTGAACATCTTTCAACAGAGAATTTTTTTGGCATTGTAGAGAAGTTAACGCTTTCATCTACGTGAAAACAATTTACGACTCCTATAAATATATTCTGGTAAAACTTAGATGTGTATGTGTTCATTCGTATGTATTCTATCATAGATTTCTTCGAAGCATTGCTCGTGTATTCTGGGACAACCGAGTAAACAATGCTGTTGTTAGGAAACGGGTCGTCGGTAAGGATGGCAAAGCAGTTGATGCGGTAGTGAAACTTCATAGGTAGAGGTGGTTAGGATATGTGTTATGAAAGCTAGGGATGGCCAAACCAAGGTATGGTGCAAATCGATAAAGTTACTGACAAGTGGACTGCGTCATTTTTATAGATGTAGACTACCTGTTAGGGGTTTGGGAGATGATAGTAATCGATGGTTTGAGACCTTGAACGATATGGCTCAAAATCGTTTGCGATGGTGCAGGTGTATTCATTCCATGTGTTCTCTCGAAGCCTCACCTTCTGAATTCTTCAGCACCTTTATCTTTTTCTTTTCAAGTTTATTTCACTAGATTATACTTCTTGAATAATATCGTCGAACCCTAATCTCCCCGATTTTTGCTAATACTTGTACTGCCTCTGTTACTATGGGATTAGAATTGACGATTTCATCTCTCTACACTAACGTAGTATCGCAACCTGAACTGATGTACTTACATATTTACGAAGCTTTTCGTTGTAACTTGCTGACTGGATGTATTCATTCATACACACAAAAATATTTGTAATGA